CATCCATAAGTAATCTCAGTGTCAGGTTACTGGTTGACACCTGGGTTTATACATCTCAACCATAAGTAATCTCAGTGTCAGGTTACTGGTTGACACCCGGGTTTATACATCTCAACCATAAGTAATCTCAGTGTCAGGTTACTGGTTGACACCTGGGTTTATACATCTCAACCCCTAAGTAATCTCGGTGTCAGGTTACTGGTTGACACCGGGTTTATACATCTCAACCATAAGTAATCTCAGTGTCAGGTTACTGGTTGACACCCGGGTTTATACATCTCAACCATAAGTAATCTCGGTGTCAGGTTACTGGTTGACACCCGGGTTTATACATCTCAACCATAAGTAATCTCAGTGTCAGGTTACTGGTTGACACCTGGGTTTATGCACCTCATCCATAAGTAATCTCAGTGTCAGGTTACTGGTTGACACCCGGGTTTATACATCTCAACCATAAGTAATCTCAGTGTCAGGTTACTGGTTGACACCTGGGTTTATACATCTCAACCATAAGTAATCTCAGTGTCAGGTTACTGGTTGACACCTGGGTTTATACATCTCAACCATAAGTAATCTCGGTGTCAGGTTACTGGTTGACACCCGGGTTTATACATCTCAACCATAAGTAATCTCAGTGTCAGGTTACTGGTTGAAACCCGGGTTTATACATCTCAACCATAAGTAATCTCGGTGTCAGGTTACTGGTTGACACCCGGGTTTATACATCTCAACCATAAGTAATCTCAGTGTCAGGTTACTGGTTGACACCCGGGTTTATACATCTCAACCATAAGTAATCTCGGTGTCAGGTTACTGGTTGACACCCGGGTTTATACATCTCAACCATAAGTAATCTCGGTGTCAGGTTATTATTATCCGACACTTGGGTTATACACACCTCAACCATAAAATTGTTTTGACCTAATAAACATTCTGATTGCACAGTCGAGGAGGGAAAAAGTGCCCCAAGACAAGTCAGGGAGAGGTTCAATGCCGAACACTGCTGGCAGGTAAAGTTCTCATTATGTCTCAGTGTTATATATTGCGCTTTTTTTTTTGTGTTGTCATGGTATGGCATTCACCCAAGTATTTTGGTATCTGGTGAAAGTAATTTTTTTTTTCAATCGAAGAAATGAGTGAATATATTACCGATATTTTTCTGCTGCTTTCGCGGTATTAAAATTTTGGAATTTCTTCGTGAAAACTGGGAACAATGACACATAAATAATTGGTTCAAGTGGAAAAAAATAATAGTCTGAAACCCTGTCTGTGTGGGTCATTAAGCATTTTCATAATTATTTTTGCTTACTGTGGAAGTAGTTATTATTAATACAATCAAAACAAAGTGCTAAACCCACAAGGGTCATACAGCACTGTGGTAAGCAGAACAAGTAAATTTATATCTGTATATCCCAATGCACGTACCAGTTTACATCACAGGTAACACTTGCGAAAAGTAATAATATAGACAAAAATTCTGATAAGAGCCATAAGTGTTCCCTGTTAGGGATAAATATCCCCTACTGGGTGATAGGTATCCCCTATCGGGGGATACGTAATTATAGACACATGATTGGGGCAACAGCTGGAGCCATCACCATCCCAGGAATCCCTAGCCGAAATAGATTGGAAGAGAGATTAATGGGAAGTGAGCAGTAGGGGATGATTAAATACCTCACACAAAGAGGCAACCGAAAAATTCAACCATCCTAAAAGGAGAGGGACCATAAAAACAAGGATAACCCCTACAGAATACTTCTGAGAAAGCGAAAGGCTGGCATAGAGAACCGAGAAAGGAATGTGGAACATGAGTAAGAGTGGAACCCAGAGCTCACCAGGTATCCCCAGAACGAGCGTACTGGACGGAAAAGGAGGCTGTTTGTATCAGCCTTGATCCCTTCAATGAAGGTTCCTTGATGCTGGTTAAGGTATCTTGATCTAGGGAATTGGATCGATGCTCCAATTCCTTGAATTAAGCCTGAATGCCTTCCAACCCTCCCTCCCCCACAGGCGCTATGTAATCTCAAAGGTTCAGCGCTCCCGTGATAATAATAACCAGCCCTCATGTTGGTGAAGGCTCTTGATTCAAGGAATTAGAACTGCCCTCCCCTTCCTCAGATCAAGCTTGATTGCCTCCTGGGCGCTGTGACTTCTACGGGTCTAGCGCTTCTGTCTGATTTTATAACTTCCTCCAAACTTTTCATCTGCAATTTCCGAAAGCCTCGTCCAACAGGCTTAAAATTATTAGTGCAAAAGTGCTGTAACTAGGCACATATCAGTGCCATCTGCAAAGGCCAGCTGTCACACCTCTCACTAGGTATCAAATTCGTTATCGTTTGTTCCCACAACTCCCCCCCAACACCCTAGCATTCGCTTCTCTTTCAACCCCATCTATAAATATTTTAAACGATAGCATGTAGAGATAGCCTCTGGTCAGTTTTATAAAAAGCATTCTCGGGTTTGGCTTTCGTGCGACAACTTGAGAAAGCTTCTTCTGATCGGTTTCAAACTTACTACATTGGTACATCCTATTTAGAGGAAGGCTGGAATTATTATTAAAATGTGTAAGTGCCAATCTGGCAGGTAATCAGGTTTGATGCGAGGAAAGGAAAAATAGCCCCAGTTCCTTGGATCAAGAGTTCTTCACTAGCATCAAGGCACCTCTTTGGAGGGATGAATCCAATAAGAGATTCGGGAAAGTTTTTTGCAACTTGGTTACCAGACCTGGAAGATGTAGCACATTATTGGAGAAACCGAAGCATAATAGTGGTGAAAAACCTATAGAAGTGACAAGAGGCCTCTAGTGGTGAAAAAAATATTTAGTGGAGAGAAGCCTATAGTGATAACACAAGTGTAGGTAAAGAAATGTCTCCAGAAGCCTGATATAATAATGATATTGAAGAGAGTAGGCGGAAAGTCCTAAAATACAGCCCGGTGTCAACGAAATGCCTATCCTGTAATTGATGGAGAACATTTTAAGAAACTGGCTAACAGACCCCCTGGAAAATATATTAAAAACATATCAAAAATACGGATGTAGAAGATGAGTTCCATGACGGACTGGCGGTAATACAGAAAGGATGGTGGAGTGTTTGGAGTTTTGATCAATGCCCTCCCCCCCACACATTGAAAAAAGCAGCCTGGGATATTAGAAGAAGCATTCTTCTGGATATGAAGAGAACTTGACAAACACAAGACAGGTTCGATCCAAGGAAGGAGAGGATAGGCCCAGTGTTTTTCATCAAGAGCCCCTCACCGGCATCTAGGTACCTCCCTTTAGGGGGGAAGGGAGGAAGGGAAGATGTGGATCTTAGTGAAAGTAATAACTGGAGTTTCTCAAGGGCTCAGTTCTCGGACCATTACTGTTCTTAATACATGTGAACAACCTGCCTCAAGAGATCGAATCATTGCCCATGTTTGCAGATGATTCGAAGTTCATGAAAATATAAATTAAAAACAAAAAAGTAAAAATCTTCACGATGATAAGGACAGGCTGCAATTATGGCCCATTAAGTGTTTGCATCAATTAAAGCCTGATAAGTGCAAGGTGATGAGAAAGAAACAAGGAGGTGAGTAGTTACCAAACAACAGGAACAACTACAAGGGTCAAGAAGAACCTTCTGAGGGACGGGGGCTCTAATGCGAGGAAAGGGATCTTGATCCAAGGAATATGAGCTGTTCTCAACCTTGCATCAAACTCGATTCCCTCCCTTGCCCCAGGCTCTCCATGACTACTGAGGGTTTAGAGCTTCCCCATGAATATAGTAATAATAACTTATTGGTTGACAGAAAAATAACTTTTGCTTGAGGCTCACATAAACAGTCAAGACAGCAGGAAATATAAAAAGATTTACTCGTGTTACTGCACACCGGGTAAGAGAGGCTCACACTGGAGTGTTCACTGCCAGCCTACAAGAACCATCTGAAACACATCAGAAAACTTGAGAAAAAAGGACCAAAGAATTGCCACCTACTATCACCTCCCTCCCCCGGTCTTTGATCAGTCAGGTTCGCAACACTAAAAAAAAAAAAGAATGGGGTATACAAAACTTGTATAAATTTAGCAAACTACTTTCCATGGGGAAAGAATCTTCAAGTAGTCCATTTTTGGCTATAGTTAACAACACCTACTCGGCATAATTTGGCCATTAGTTTACATTTTACAATACATGCAACATATGTACATCACGGAATAACTAAGTACTTCTCGTGTAAATTGTTATTTTGAAAGATATTGCGGAAAATAGTAATTTATTTGGTTGTGAGTAGTTCCGTGCCGGACACGATGATAGTTTTAAGGATAAGTTACTTCAGGTTTCCCGTGGTTACGTTTTATGCCATTGACGCACCAAAATGCTACCTTAAAAGTAACTTAATTTTTACAATTCAGGCTATAATTAATGGCAGAAATCGTCAGAGTCGAAAACCATTTTTTGTTTTATACTGACAGCAGTAACAGCCTGGTTGATCAGACCCTGATCCACCATGAGGCCTGGTCTCAGACCGGGCCGCGGGGGCGTTGACCCCCGAAACCCTCCCCAGGTAAACTCCAGGTAAGATAAACATACATCATGAACTGCAGACCAAACTATAACTGCAACTAATAAAGAAACGACTGACGAAAAGGAGCCGATACAAACGAATATTTATCCGAGTTCACTACAAAGGAAACTTCAATCATATAAAAAAAACTCTGTTAGTATGCACGGTGGTTTTTAATAACCTTCACTGCATACAAAAGCAGGCAACACACACGAGCAACAATCAAGATAACAATTATCTAACTTCCCTGTCAAGCAATATGACATTACATTATAATACACACAAGAAGAAATCAGAATAAAAATGTATTTACACAAATTAAATAAAAATACTGAAATAAATCATAACAAAGGCGTGCTAAAATCATTAGAATAAATCAATAAAGTATTTGTTCCTTGGGAATAAAGCTCTTCGCCAGTGACCATGTGTTCTTAAATGTATAATTCGTAAGAGCTTACCTCTACGCATACGACAGCCTTCCTCAGCTCACCTGCGGGCTAGAGCTCTCTCCCACTTCTATTCTCGATACTGACACTAAAGTTCGAGTCAATAAATCCAACAGTAATTGCGAAAAAGTGTCATAGGATGGAGTGGGATGCGTGAGGACGCACACACCCCTCTATTGAGCTACCATCACCGCGGACGCCCGGGTGGTACTGAACTTCTCTTATGGTCACCCACTTTCCAGCGGCCGCCCCCCTGCCATCTGTTGCCACCCTGTGCAACTAACCTTCCTGGAGGATTTACCACAGGGGGCACGGGATTTATATACACTGAAAGGTGTGTCATCCCCAATTTGTATATACACTGAGATTTTACTATAATCCCTATTTTAAGGGTTAAAGTATCCCAATGGAAAAAAGTCACTTAGACTTTGGGTTATCCTGGATAATCTACACATATACTGGTATGTATGATAATTTATGTAACTGTATTTATGTGTACCTGTACTTGAATATACTTACCTGACTGATGGTGGATACGTTATAAACAGCCTTGATGACCTTGTGTAGCTGCTAAGCTTCATAATAACCCAGTTAAACCATCCAGTTAAACCATCCCAATTAAACCGACACAATGGAAAAATAAACACAAGCAGTATAATGTGATCCTTTATTAACAACGTTTCGCCCACACAGTGGACTTTATCAAGACACAAACAGATCTGACCACATGGTATTTACACTGAAAGATATGTGAATAAGACACATATGCAACTCTTGCATATCTTAATTGTGAAGACGTTTCTCCAGCCAGGTTTATTAATCCAATACAGAGAATGATCTTGGTGATGTTGGAAGACATAACAATACACAAATAACCCGCACACAGGAGACTGGAACTTATGGTAACCTTCCAGTCTGACTTAGACCATTAACTGTGGGGTAGTTTGACGTCATCAGTCCTTCAGCCTTGATGAATCTTTCGAAAACGGCAGAAGACTTGAAGTATTTGAACGTGATTATATATAAATAAGCCACACATAGGAGAGAGGAGCTTACGACGAAGTGACTTTGTAAATGGTATAAGTCGGACCGAAACGTCGTCGTAAACTCCTCTCTATGTGCGAGTTATTTGTGTTTTGTTCCAGTCACGGAGGTGATTAACCTCTCAGCCTATAATAGACTATTAACACAAAATACCGAAAAGTGTGTGCTGTAAACCGTATTTTAAATGCAGTTTTTTCATTCAAGATGTACAAAGTGCACCTATGGAACTGTCTCTATCTCTGGCTATATATATGTACTCACCTATTTGTACTCACCTATTTGTGGTTGCAGGGGTCGATTCATAGATCCTGGCCCCGCCTCTTCACTGATTGCTACTAGGTCCTCTCTCTCCCTGCTCCATAAGCTTTATCATACCTCGCCTTAAAACTATGTATGGTTCCCGCCTCCACTACTTCACTTTCTAGGCTATTCCACGGCTTGACTACTCTATGACTGAAGAAATACTTCCTAACATCCCTTTGATTCATCTGAGTCTTCAACTTCCAATTGTGACCTCTTGTGTCTGTGTCCCTTCTCTGGAACATCCCATCTTTGTCCACCTCGTCTATTCAGCGCAGTATTTTACATGTCGTTATCATGTCTCCCCTGACCCTCCTGGCCTCCAGTGTCGTCAGGCCGATTTCCCTCACCTTTCTTCATAGGACAATCCCCGTAGCTCTGGGACTAGTCTTGTTGCAAACCTTTGCACTTTCTCTAATTTCTTGACGTGCTTGACTAGGTGTGGATTCCAAACTGGTGCTGCATACTCCAGTATGGGCCTGACGTAAATGGTATACAGAGTCTTGAACGAATCCTTACTGAGGTATCGGAACGCTATCCGTAGGTTTGCCAGGCGCCCGTATGCTGCAGCAGTTATCTGATTGATGTGCGCCTCAGGAGATATGCTCGGTGTTATACTCACCCCCAGATCTTTTTCCTTGAGTGAGGTTTGCAGACTTTGGCCATCTAAACTATATTGTGTCTGCGGTCTTCTTTGCCCTTCCCCAATCTTCATGACTTTGCATTTGGCAGGGTTAAACTCAAGGAGCCAGTTGCTGGACCGGGCTTGTAGCCTGTCCAGTCTCTTTGTAGTCCTGCCTGATCCTCATCCGATTTGATTCTTCTCATTAACTTCACGTCATCTGCAAACAAGGACACTTCTGAGTCTATCCCTTCCGTTATGTCGTTCACATATACCAAGAACAGCACAGGTCCTAGGACTGACCCCTGTGGAACCCCGCTTGTCACAGGCGCCCACTCTGACACCTCGTCACGTACCATGACTCGTTGTTGCCTCCCTGTCAGGTATTCTCTGATCCATTGCAGTGCCTTTCCTGTTATGTGTGCCTGATTCTCTAGCTTTTGCAGTAACCTCTTGTGAGGAACTGTGTCGAAGGCCTTCTTGCAGTCCAAAAAAATGCAGTCGATCCACCCCTCTCTCTCTTGTCTTACTTCTGTCACCTTGTCATAAAACTCTAGTGTGTGTGTGTGTGTGTGTGTGTGTGTGTGTGTGTGTGTGTGTGTGTGTGTGTGTGGTTTTGTGTGTTGTGTATTCACCTATTTGTGGTTGCAGGGGTCGAGTCCTAGCTCCTGGCCCCGCCTCTTCACCGGTTGCTACTAGGCCCTCTCTCTCCCCGCTCCATGAGCTTTATCAAACCTCGTCTTAAAACTGTGTATGGTTCCTGCCTCCACTACGTCATTTTCTAGGCTATTCCACTGCCTTACAACTCTATGACTGAAGAAATACTTCCTACTATCTCTCTGACTCATTTGTGTCTTCAACTTCCAAATTGTGGCCTCTTGTTTCTATGTCCCCTCCCTGGAACATCCTGTCCTTGTCCACCTTGTCTATTCCACGCAGTATTTTATATGTCGTTATCATGTCTCCCCTGACCCTCCTGTCCTCCAGTGTCGTCAGGCCGATTTCCCTTAATCTTTCTTCATAGGGCATTCCCCTTAGCTCTGGAACTAACCTTGTTGCAAACCTTTGTACTTTCTCTAGTTTCTTGACGTGCTTTATCAAGTGCGGGTTCCAAACAGGTGCTGCATACTCCAGTATGGGCCTGACATACACGGTGTACAGTGTCTTGAATGATTCCTTACTAAGGTATCGGAATGCTGTTCCCCAGGGTTTTCCAGGCGCCCATATGCTGCAGCAGTTATCTGATTGATGTGTGCTTCCGGAGACATGCTCGGTGTTATACTCACCCCCAAAATCTTTCTCCTTGAGTGAGGTTTGCATTCTTTGGCCACCTAGCCTATACTCTGTCTGTGGTCTTCTGTGCCCTTCCCCTATCTTCATGACTTTGCATTTGGCAGGATTAAATTCGAGAAGCCATTTGCTGGACCAGGTGTCCAGTCTGTCCAGGTCTCTTTGAAGTCCTGCCTGGTCCTCATCAGATTTAATTCTCCTCATTAACTTCACATCATCTGCAAACAGGGACACTTCTGAGTCTAACCCTTCCGTCATGTCGTTCACATATACCAAAAATAGCACTGGTCCTAGGAACGACCCCTGTGGGACCCCGTCGTCACAGGTGCCCACTGTGATACATCATTACGTACCATGACTCGTTGTTGCCTCCCTGTCAGGTATTCTCTGATCCATTGCAGTGCCCTTCCTGTTATATGCGCCTGATGCTCTAGCTTCTGCACTAATCTCTTGTGAGGAACTGTGTCAAAGGCCTTCTTGCAGTCCAAGAAGATGCAATCAACCCACCCCTCTCTCTCTTGTCTTACTTCTGTTATTTTAAACCCTAAAACTCCAGAAGGTTTGTGACACAGGAATTTGCCTTCCGTGAATCCGTGCGGTTGGCATTTATACTCCTGTTCCGTTCCAGTGCTCCACCACTCTCCTCCTTATAATCTTCTCCTAATTTTGCATACTAAACACGTCAATGACACAGGTCATAGTTTAGTGCCTCTTTTCTGTCTCCTTTTTTGAAAATGGGAACTACATTTGCCGTGTTGGGGTGTGTGTGTGTGTGTGTGTACTCACCTAGTTGAGGTTGCGGGGGTCGAGTCCGAGCTCCTGGTGTGTGTGTGTGTGAGTTTTGTGTGTGTGTTGTGTGGTGTGTGTGTGTGTGTGTGTGTGGTGTGTTTCGGTGTGTGGGGTACTCTCCTAGTTGTACTCACCTAGTTGAGGTTGCGGGGGTTGAGTCCGAGCTCCTGGACCCGCCTCTTTACTGATCGCTACTAGATCACTCTCCCTGACCGTGAGCTTTATCATACCTCTGCTTAAAGCTATGTAGGATCCTGCCTCCACTACATCGCTTCCCAAACTATTCCACTTTCTGACTACTCTGTAGCGAAAAAATACTTCCTAACATCCCTTGTGATTCATCTGTGTCTTCAGCTTCCAACTGTGTCCCCTTTTTTACTTTTGTCCAATCTCTGGAACATTTCCTGTCTTTGTCCACCTTGTCAATTCCTCTCAGTATTTTGTATGTCGTTATCATGTCAACCCTATCTCTCCTGTCCTCCAGTGTCGTCAGTTGATTTCCCTTTAAACCCCTCCTCGTAGGACATAAACCTCTTAGCTCTGGGACTATCTTTTGCAAACCTTTGCACTTTCTCTAGTTTCTTCACGTGCTTGGCTAGGTGTGGGTTCCAAACGGTGCCGCATAAATCCAATATGAGCCTAAAAGTACACGGTGTACAGGGGCCTGAATGATTCCTTATTAAGATGTCGGAATGCTGTTTTGAGGTTTGCCAGGCGCCCATATGCTGCAGCAGTTATTTGGTTGATGTGCGCTTCAGGAGATGTGCCTGGTGTTATACTCACCCCAAGATCTTTTTCCTTGATGAGGTTTTGTATCTCTGGCCCCCTAGACTGTACTCCGTCTGCGGTCTTCTTTGCCCTTTCCCAATCTTCATGACTTTGCACTTGGTGGGATTGAACTCCAGGAGCCAATTGCTGGACCAGGTCTGCAGCCTGTCCAGATCCCTTTGTAGTTCTGCCTGGTCTTCGATCGAGTGAATTCTTCTCATCAACTTCACGTCATCTGCAAACAGGGACACCTCAGAGTCTATTCCTTCCGTCATGTCGTTCACATATACCAGAAACAGCACTGTGTGTGTGTGTGTATGTGTGTGTGGGGTGTGTGTGAGTGTGTGTATGTGTGTGTGAGTGTGTGTGTGTGTGTGAGTGTGTGTGTG